ATGCCACACCCCTGAACATGACCCCTCCCCTTATGCCACACCCCTGAACATGACCCCTCCCCTTATGCCACACCCCTGAACATGAACCCTCCCCCCATGCCACACCCCTGAACATGAACCCTCCCCCCATGCCACACCCCTGAACATGACCCCTCCCCTCATGCCACACCCCTGAACATGACCCCTCCCCTCATGCCACACCCCTGAACATGACCCCTCCCCTTATGCCACACTGCTCACCCCACAATACCTTTTCCTGTGTCACCTGACTGGTGGCTCCCTCCCACCCATGCCAACACGCCCCCAGGACCCAAACATGCCTCACATCAGCCACGCCCCCAATCCCTCAGCCACGCCCCCAATCCCTCAGCCACGCCCCCAGCAATACCTAACAAGGTGGCTAGCGCACGCATGTCCTTCTCCATCAGGGTGTACACTTCCTCCCTGGAGAAGCGGCCGATCCCGTGGCCGTACATCTCTCGCTTCACGATGCCGCGGTTCACCTGACTCAGGATCCACTTCAGGATGGGGCTCAGCGGCCCGCTCACGGCCAGCATCTTCCGGGTCGTCTCTAGGTTCTCCACCCACTGACAGTAGGCCATGGTCCTGACACAACACACATGACATGTCACGTAACCTAATGTGTATCCATGACCCTATGGCCAGCAGCTACACGGCCAGAGCCCAGCCTGCTGCTGTCACTGACCAGTAGAAGTGTTCCTCCACCATCCGGGTGACGGCGTGGGACACGGCCCTCTCCTCATGGTTCAGATTCTTATTCAAGTCTACGTCCAGCTTCTCCACCAAGAAGTCCATGATGAACTCCAAGCCGGACACCTCCTCCTGGTTGTACTCGATCCACGGCATTTTGCCTTGCGGAGAGAGCTTCCCGTCGAAGTAATTCTGCCGGGAGGGGAGGCCACTTTAGTCTCTCGACGGAGAAAAGGAAGACGAACTAACCTCAGGGCACAAACCAGCGCCGAGGAGAGTGATGCCCGTCGGCCCACCTGGTAAGGCACGCCGCCCATTCGCAGGTAGGTCTCCAGCCTCAGGCAGAACGGCGACAGGCTGGGAATGCAGCCCGAAGGCCTGCCAAACTGGTGCAGGATGAGGGTATCTGTGGAGTCCATCTCCTGCTCCTTCCTACACGCAGAACAAACATTTATTTGTCCCTTCAAAAAATGGACCTTTACATTAAAACTGCTATGCCACATCCCCCAATATCCTCTTATACATCTGACATCATATACAAATCCTTAATTATTTCCGCCTTTTCGTATAAACAATGATTGCTTCAGATGTTTCCTTTCCAAATGGACAGCCAGTATTTCATCACTATAAAGTGACTGACGTTGTACCTTTGACTTCATTTTTAGAAGTAGCTACCACTAGATGGTGCCGGAATTACTGCCTAGCAAACGTTTTTATCGACGTTGGTAGTAATTTCTTCAGTGTAATAAATATACGGATGGCCGTCTCTCCATCTTTTATTGCTCTAAAATAATTAATCTGTGTGTCTTCCCCAATTTTCAAGAACGTGGTATTATTCAGAATAGAACCGCATGGAAATACACACGTCCGTGTCGGATAAGAGTGTGTTGGAGCATCATGCAGGTCCTGCGGCTTCTCGGGGTACCACAGCATCCTTTGCTGATTACGCTGTACACAGTAGACGGTGGAAAGCTGCTGTCCGTGCGACATTAAGTAGCGTTTTATAGCTCCAGACCACGTGAGGCTGCACACACCCACGTGATGCCCCCGCCCCCCGAAATACATCGAAAACAAACAGGTAATTAAAATATTATACACTTTATGCAGCGGCAGCAATTTAATGTACATGCCTCAGTCCTCTATAGCACAATAAGCTATAAAGGCTGCTCTTTTCATATGGCGGACGCATTATTTTAATTACTGCTGAGGTGTTTACATGCATTTATGTGCACATGCATAAATGCACCCCGAAAGGCAAAAGAAGACGCATCCCTAAAAAGCCAACTGCTTCTAAAATGAAAGCCAATAATCAAAGTCAATACGATGCGTCCCCCACGGATCAGACAGTCTGTATTGTTATTCATCATTCAGGGGAGATAATCCGCCTGCACACACCAGCGCCGCTTGCGAGACACAGGCATCGGCGTCATGTTCGGTACCTGGCGACCAGCAGCTCGTGTAGGATGTAGACAGCGGCTGCCACTAGGGCTCCCCCGGTCAGGTAGAGCGTCCTCTTCCACCAGGTGTCGGACCCCAGCCCAGACATAACCCCGCCGTCGTCCTGCAGATGGAAGGCCACGACGTACCCGTACAGCGAGTAGCGATCATCGGAGCCGCAAAGCCCGAGCGAGAAACTCCGATTGTGGCCCAGATCGACCACGCACGACCGGGAGGAGGCGAAACCACGCCACCACAGCATCCTGTCCCCGGCCGCATCCGTCCGGCTACATCGGCGTTAAGGCGAGAGGCGGTCCGAAGGCCGGTCCGTAGCCTGGTCCGCCCGCTGGTCCTCTGATCGCTGCGCTCCGCATCCAGCATCTCCTGCTTTCCCTGCTCCACTAGGGGTGCAGCTGTCGTCAGCGGGACTGCAGCGCAGCCACCTCTTCTTATAGCCTCATTTTTCCCCAGGATAATCGAAACGTATTACCAACAGCCCAGACTGTACCGAACCGCATTTACTCCTGTCTGCGTTTAATTCCAAAATAACCCCGCGTCCAATTCAGCTGTAGGTGAGGCTAATTAAGACGGACTATCTTTCCTGATGCCCTTCTTAACCCACGTGTATTTCATCAGCTGGTCACATCTGTTTTCTCTCTATAAAAGGGTACATCTTGTCCAAAAACTGCAGAACATCAACAATGGTATATTTGAACAATTATGTCCACTGATCCATTAATTAAATCATAGCTTAATTTACATGGCCAAAAAATTGCGTTCGCATGCTTTAAATCAGTCCTTTCCGTAGACAGAGAGCCAGTTTGGTCTCCTGTTGTTGCTTATCTATCAATATCTGGCCGTGATCAGTCCCTGGATCTGTTGCGCGGCTGTTTTGGGTGAGATTAGTGCACAGCCCCTGGACATTTCAGTATAGACGCTCCTCAACTTACGGCGAGGTTACGTTCCGATGAACCCATACTAGGTCGAAAATATCAGAAGTCGAACATGAATGCGTTACGATGTGACCCTTGGGCATTTAGTAGAGAGAATGGGATTGGGAAATTTAAGGTTTAATAGGCAAAGGGGGGGGGGGGGGGGCACACGCACTGTACGGTTCTAAACACTATGAGATGTTTACGCTTGCGATCGCTAGAGACTGGAAGCGTGGCTGGCTGGATGCTGCTGTTGCCCGGCTTCGGTAGGACGTATCGTACGGCATATCGCAGCCCGGGAACAGGTCAAAACTCAAAACGACTGCCGATATCCGAATGTCCATCGCTATCGCACTATCCTCTAAATATCAATGCGAGGAGCATCTGTGTTTAACAGTTCTCTGTAAAACGAGCAGAAAACAGACATGGAATCGATCAGAATTTTATTCAAACTGTAATCCAAGACTTTTCCCCCTACATCAGAACAAAAATAAGTTTTATTCTATACAAACATATAGTAACACTGAAATCTGAAAGCGTGCCTCTCACTTTACTACAGACGCACTTAGTGACCAGCTCAACACACTGCTGTCTTCAGTCTGGGGACCTCCTTCACCTGCCCCATCCCCAAGTGACGTCACACCACACCAACACTCTGGGTCACCGGACCTCGTTTGGAAATGAGGCAGATGGGACCCGTGACCCGCCGCCCCGATCCGCCGTCCGAATCCGCGATGCGCTCAGCTCTCCCTGCGCTCCTGGTCCACCGCACCTCCATGGTGGGCCAGCTGCTGCTCCGGCCCGTGGGTGGGGCCGGGTGGCTGTCCCCCCCTCCCCTTCACAGCGCAGAGGGCGTAGTTAAGGGCTGTGCTCTCCGCCCAGCTCCAGGCTCCGGACAGCGGGTTGAACAGCATGCCTTGGATGGACTCCACGCAGAAGCCATCTGGGGAAGACCACACTTCAAAACAACATCCGGACAAAATGAAACCGAACATGCCAGTGATTGACACGCTTAAAAACGACGCCGCCGCGATCATTCTGTCATGCCACAACCCCGGAGGGTGCAGGACGTTTGAGAGACAGCAGACTCGCATAGACAGCACAAATAAACATATTGTGGTGAGTGTACGAGTCATTTTAATAAACGAGATGACAGCCCTTTTAAAAAGAAAGTTACTCTCCATTAACAGCCAATATTGGTTTAATACTAAGAGGCACAGACATGGAAGCCAGGAAAATTAAACATTCATGGTTATATGCTAAGAAAACACACGCATTCCACAGTAAACGACATTCACCATCAGCAGAAACACATACTTTTATACCATTTAAAGATACATGCCATGCAGTGTAAAGCATGCCAGTAACTGCATAGTTAGTCCTGCTGACCAACCCCGCGGAGTCACATTCGTGTCAGCCAATCATGGACAGTGGGTGGGATCAGAACAGGAAGAAAAAAAAAAGTTCACCTGGAGGACCCTGCACAGGCAGTGTGCCAAGACTGATCGTCACAGCCACCTTAAGGGACAGGGAGACTTACTGGACTCCAGCATCCTCTCCAGGTCAACAGGACTGATGAACTTCTCCCAGGTGTGGGTGCCGGGGGGGACGATGTGGAGCAGGTGCTCAGCTACCACGATGCCCAGCACGTATGACAGTTTGGTCTTGTTGATGGTGGTGATGAAAAGCAAACCCCCAGGCTGCCAAAAAAAAAAAAGCGCTCACAGATCAACAATGATCCCCTTTCTGGCCAAATCTCAGCCAACAGAGACGGCAATATCTGACTGGACTGAGAGGGGCAGTTAGGGAGCGGCGGCAAATTACATCATCAGAAACAAACCGCGAACTGCATCAGCAACCTGACTGTTAGAGCTAGTAAGAGAGAGATTTCCCCACACAGACTGGACACCACCAACTCATTTAGTGACGGTGATTTTAAGAGACTATATGCATGCATGCAGGCCTCCGCAACATTCTGGCTCACCTTCAGCACCTGGTGGCAGCACTGTATGAACACGTCCACGTCCAGCAGGTGCTCCACCACCTCGGATGCCACTATGGCATCAAACGCCTCTGTCTCTTCGCTGGACAGCTCTTCTATGGTACAAGCCCGGTACTGGAGCCGCTCCCGCAGGGTCGGGTCAGACGAGCTGTGGAGCTCCGCAATCCGCACGTTGTCCTCCACCGGGTCCACGCCCATCACATCGGCACCCAGTCTAGCCAGGGGCTGGGGCGGGAATCACAAGGAAGATTAACCATTAAATTACCTGTGGCAATAGTGCCACCTTCTGGTGGGAGGCCAAAAACATGACACTGTAAAGCAAGCCAAATGGATGTAGGAGCCCTTCGGGAGTTCATGGGTATTTTCTGCACAAATCACGTTCCCACTATTCAGGCTGCAGATGCACCCTAGGCTGTACCTCGCTCAGCAGGCCTCCTCCGCAGCCCACATCCAGTATCCTCGTCCCGGACAGGAGCCTCCCTCCCTGCAGGCCCTGGTGGACCTTCAGCAGACTGTCCCTGCAGACAGAGGTATCCAGAGAAAGCGTCGGGCCACTCTTGCTATCCCTCATCCTCTTCTAATGTAGCTACCACCCCAGCCTCTAGAACAACCCACCCCACCTTCCAGAAATTTAGCCACAAACAGAACAGGAGTGGGGGGTAGTTTGTAGCTCAGTGGGTTAGGACACTGTCTGTGATCAGAAGGTTTTTGGTTCAAATCCCAGAGCTGGTAGAGTCACTGCCTGGGGCCCCCTGAGCAAGACTTTTCAACCCCAACTGTTTTAGGGACTAGCTGACCTTGCCTTGTTAATTCTGTCCCTTTGAATAAGAGACACAATGGGACATTGTGGGGGGGGGGTACGCCTCTACATCTCACTGGGCAGACATGGAGGGTCGCTAGATCAGCTATAGACACAGAACTGAGATTAATGTTAAAAACAGAGTGAAAAGGCCTGACAGTGAAGCCAGACGGCCCCTGGCCACACGATCACACCCATGCTCACCTAACGAAGGGCACCCGGAGGCTGTTCATAGAGTGAAGAGCCGCAAAAGCACCCCGCTCATCCCACCACCTGCTGGACAGAGCCTGAAATTTCTTGGTCTCGCTGGGGTCCAGAGTAGTCCGTGATGATGAACCAGCACTGTAGTGGTGAACACTGCGGGGGCAAGGGCACAGTGTATCAGTGTACCAGGAAACCCAGTGACAGCTAATAGCCTGCTGGGTAGCCCTGTTACAGAGCTCGGTGTACCACAGCAAAGTTCTAAAATAAATAAAAAGTTCTAATGAAGGCAAAACGGTGCGTTAGCCGTCGGCTGGCTGGTGTGAGACTTTCGAGACAAGTGTAACTGTTTTATTACCGTGTAAATAGTCTGCAAACTACTCCGATGCTTCTGATGCAGCTAACTTTAGGTTTTTAATGGAATGACATAGATTTGCCGTAATATTTCTTGCGTGAGCGTGGCAGTCTGAAAGCGTGAGTTTAATGTCACATGCGTGAAAGTTGGCAGCCTTGTAACGGTGAGAATTCAGAATATCAGTTAATATTATATGACTGCGTTACAAAGTAATAGAAGGTAATGCAAATTGAATTCCGTTAATTACACCGTTTGTTCATTTATTTATTTACTTATCACCGTATCGGGAAGGTTAGTGACAGTCAGTCCCCACCTACTGACGGAGCACACGCTGCTCCCAGCTGTGCGCACCGGTCCATGGGGTCTTGCTCCGTCGGGTTGGAGACCGTGTACACGGCATGCACACGCAGAGCTCCCCGGAAAAATTGCTCCTAGGACCGACCCGCGTTGGAGCCCCACACCCAGGGGCAGACGGAAAGCAGAGCTTCCCAGCGCTTTACGGAGCATAGCAGTGGCGTGACCGGCGACAGGACGAACCGGGCGGAAACACGAACCCGGGCGCATTAAAGTTCCTACATCGAGGGCTTTGCTTGTCAAACGTTGTTATAAAATCAGTACTCTATTTTTTTTTTAAACCAGGGGTGGCCACTCCTATCAGCAAAGGACCAGTGTGTATGCCGGTTTTGGGGATACCATTTAGGTCAGCTGTTCAAACTCAGGTGACTCTTCAGTTAATCAGTCCTCTAATTAGTAATGTAATTAGGGAGTTACAGCAAAAACCTGCATACAGCCCTTTCTGAGTAAGACTGTCCTCCCCTGTTCATAGTGGTTTCATTTACATTTAAGACCAGCAGAAAGGCAGGTGGAGCAACCATGACATGCAAGCACCATAGCTTTCTTCCCATTTGTCCAGAGTAACATCACAGCGTAAAAAAGCTGCATCACTTCCGAAGGCCTAAAATCTCACACATCCTGCTGATCCTCAGTCCTCTAGACTAGTGGTTCTCAACTGATGGGAACCATTTTCTTTGGGTCACAGACTATGTAGTTTTAAGAAAAAAAGTGTTTGATTTTTTTTTATAAGGCTTTTGTAGTTGACAAAACGTCATCCCAGAAATGTTTTTTTTTACTGCCAGCAACCCCCCCCCCAATATCATGCCAAAATAAACTCGTACCAACAAAAATTCAGGGTTGTGATTAACGAATAATGTGTATCCGGAGGCTAAACCAGTTGAGAACCACTGGTCTACACTGTTCCAACCATTCACTTCCACTGAAATTTCATCCTACCCTCATCTGTATTGTACGGACTGTGTCAAACAAACAAGAAAAACCAAGCAAGCACAACATTCAGATCGATGTTTTATTAGAAGTTGTACAGACTTTACAGTGTATCACAGCATGTGCTGACAGCCCACATTCACCTTAAAAAACATGTTTTTTTCCTTAAAAAAAAAACCCTAACTAACTAACTAACAGGTAGGAAGGGCAGCCAGGCCTCTAGGGAAAGCTGGGGAGGACTTTTAAATGCTTCAGAACAAAAAGGGACAATCACAACAGCCAAACCAACAATCATTCGCTTTATTGGACAATTTACAGTGTGATTTTTTTTTTTCCTTTTGTGATAAAACGTTACAACTTGGATGCTCTACTGACTAAGTCCTCAGATGTGATCAGGCTTTGGAGGGAGTGTTGTACTGCAGACAGGAATTAAAAATGAGATATTTACAGGGGTGGGGGTCACGGGAGAGTCACCTACACTGTTGCCTCTATAATGAGACAAGCCTTTAAAACTCATGGAATTTTAAAATAAGTACACATATCAGGATCCTCAGCGCCAGCGGCGGGCGGGAGAGTTTGACCTGCAAGAGAGGTGGAGGGAAAAGGTGTCAGGGCGAGGCTTCCACCAGCCAATCAGCATAAGCACAGTCACTGACAGACAGCCCCGAGACCCTATCCCCTCCCTCCAGCCAAAAAATGGCCCCACACCACATGACACAGCGGAACCGTCACCCACAGGCTGCAAGGGCAGTATCCTGCGGAAGGAGACGGGTCGACATGCACAGTCTTTTCAGGAAGATTACGCTGTGCCCTCTCTTTAGTATTTTAGTGCGTAATCGCCTTGTGGGGTAGCGTGCAAAGGGACAGCGCCTCTTGTGGCGAGGCCTGAGCGGCGCGTCAGGGAGACAATCAGCTGGCACATAATAACCAACATGGCTTTACCCCATTAACAGTAAGCAAACGTATGCGGGATATTACAGCACAACAACGTGAACATGGACAGTGAAAAGGAGTAAGTAAAGAGAACTGAATACTACCTTGATGGCGACTTAGACTTGTGTTTGTGGCTCGCCTTCTTACCAGACTTGTGCGACTTTTCCGTTGACCGTGAGCGACTGCGTTTGGACTTTTTAGATTTCTTTTCCTTGCTAACCTCAGGAGAGGGAGACCTGCTCCTGCTGGACTCAGAGTCTGAGTACTTCCTGCCGCCTTTGCTGGGGCCCTTCTTGCCGCTCTTGTCCGAGCGGGCGGGCCTGCCGGCGGCCTCACTGTGGGAGTCCGTGTGCTCGCTCTCCCTCCTCCGCTTAGCCCTGCCGTTGCTGCCCTCCTGCACTACGCTCTCCTTCTCCTTCGCCCTCTGCTTGGACCTCTCTTTCTTATCTACATCCTTCTCCTTTTTCTTTTTGTCCTTCTCTCCACTCCGGCTCCTCTCCCTCCTCTTGTCCCTGTCTTTGCTCGGCTCTTTCTGCTTGCGCCGGCTGCGACTTCGGCTGCGTCTGCGCTCCCGGCTCTGCCGCCGGTCCCCGCTGCGACTGCGGCTGCCCTTCGCCCTCTCCCTGGACCTGCTCTTGCGCCCCCTGCTGGGCCTCCTCTCCCGGGAGCGGCTGCGGTTCCCCCGGCGGCCGGAGCGCTCGGCACTGCGGTTTCTACTGCCCCGCCTCCTCTCCCGGCCCTTTTCCCGTTCGCTGGGGCGTCTGCGCGGACTGCGGCTGCGCGGCCGCGTCCGGCGGGAGGGCGAGGGGCTGCGCCGCCTCTTCCTCCTTGGGGAGGAGGAGCGGGATGAACTGCGAGAGGAAGAGGAGGAGGAGGAGGAGGAAGAGGAACGGCTGCTGGAGCTGCTGGAGCTGGAGCGCGAGGTGCTGCTGCGAGCGTCGCTGGGGGAGGCGCTGCCGCTCGCCCCGCCACGCCCCGCCTGCTCCCTCACTGGCCCCGCCCGCCTGACCTCACTAGCCTCCTGCTCAGGACGGGCCTTGCGTCTCTCCACCTCCCTGACAGGCTCCGCCTCCCTGACTGCCGCTCTATCTAAGCTCTCCGACTGTGTCTGCTCTCGGCCCACCCTATCCAGTGCTGGGTCATCTGGGGGGGTAACAAAGATAACAATCATTAATGCCCAACCCGGTAGACACTGTCACATAACATTTGCTAGACTAAAATATCCGTGGTTTGTCTACGACACCATTGTACTCATCTTTCAGATAAAGTAAGGAATTTCCAGTGAAGAGCAGCAACCTTAAAACACTAGTAAGACACGTGGCTCCATTCCTGTTCTTCAGCGGTTCCCGATCTTCTTACACCGCTTACCACAATTATGATCGCCAATGTAAAACAAAATCCCCCCACCAACCACTAGAGGGCGCTTGCGTACCATAGTTTGAGAACCACTGCTATACTACAACAAGGCACTCCTACTTTATCTGTACAGATTCTGCAGAGACGCACCTGGGGCAAGCGGCCCCTCAGTCGCGCGCCTCTCCTCTTGCTGCTGCAGCGCCCTCTCCTGGCGCCGAAAGGCATCCTGCTTCTGGCGGATGCGGTGCCGTAACTCCTCCTCGTCTGTGTCAGAGGAGTCCGAAGCCTTGGTGCTGTGCTCGCCGTCGCTCTCGTCCGAGCCGTACTCACCCAGACCCCCTGCGGCAACAGAGGCCATACCCTTTATAGCGGGCAGTGCCAGGACACACCCTCTCTCACTCCCTCTCTAACACACTCTCTCTCAGTCACACACACCTCTCTCTGAGGCCCTGTCTGCAGGTGGCTGAGCTCGCTGAGACAGCATGCGCAGAAATGTCTGAACACAAACGTCTACTGAACCCTGCACCCAACATCACGCTGTGACATTTCGGCCTGTCTCATTAACGTCTGTGTGGCATTCTACCGCTGCATGTGAAACATTGCCCATCGCCCTGCCCCGATCCGACTGAACC